TCTTGTAACGGTAAAATATCTTGTTGTTTGAATAAGTGCAACGTTGTCTTTATGAAATAAACACTAGTATGTCTATAAAGGTTCATTTAATGCATCACCACACCGGTGTGATGTTGACGCAATGTGATGTCGTCGTTTTAATGATGGACAAATTGCACACATTCGCTGGTCAAAAACCCGCGGTGTAACTGCATTTGAGTTTGACACAAAGCAACAGAGTGATCCTTGTCAGCTAGGTAAAATATATTATAAGAAATTTCTATTTTGATTTTATGGCTATCTGCGGAATGTGCTGATGCATGTAAATTACATGATGTATTAACATTTACATATTAACATTTCATCATATTATATAGCCTATGGTCACACAGCATGGTAGGTTAAAGTTTACGATGCTATTATATTATGCATATGTTTGCTGGCTAAATTTTTTTAAAAATCTAGTATTGTATACTCCCCGCTCGTCTTCACATGTATAAACATAGAAAAACATGGTTTACTACTGTAATAATGTTGTATTAAATTAAAAAAAACTTTACACAATGAGAATGAGAATCATCAGGTCATTGTGTATTCTATATATTTTATCATGCAGAATGTAATCTGCATGTATGCAAAGCAAAGAAAAAAAGAAAATGAACATCTTACACAACTAAATAATTTTAAAGATACCCTCTATATGTATATATTATCTGTATAAAAGTTATTAATACTAATTAAATATAATATAAGAATATTATTGTGTGTTATTTTTTTGGTGGTGGAGGGGTTCGGGGAGGGGTTGGGGGGGTGCCCTTTTTTCAGTTTCAGCACATGCCCCTCAAAAGGTCTGTGCACGGCCCTGCCTTATACTATCTATCTTAGTTCAGGTATGAGTTTTGTTAAATGCTTTTATTTATTTATGTGATTAGATAAATTGGTTCATCTAAACCACCCTTAGTGTGTGAGTGTGATTCTGCAATGAACCTGCATCCCATCCAGGGTGTCCTGTGCCCCGGTGCATGCTGGGATATTCAGCAGGATCCCTGTGAGCCTGTACTAATAAGCAGATATGGATGGAAAGAAAAATACAAGCTGGAATTTAGTGACACAGGGCCTCTGGAGGAGGTCCATACACCAGGAACCGCAGTACTGTAGGTCATCAGCAGCTACCATGTTCTCCAGCCTCTTACACTCTTACACACCTCATGGAGATGCCCCCTGCGGTCATCATCCAAAGGTTGTACATGATCCCAGAGCCCCGTCACCCTCCATCACGGACCATACAGCTCCACTCTGGGAGGTGCTTGGGGGGGGGGGTGTGATGTGACGGCCAGCAGGAATCGCTCTGAACCATGCAGGCAGACAGCAACAGCGGGGTCCTCACAGTCGGCCCAGAAACAACCTGTAAGGAATGATAACAGAAACAACTGGGGGTCACCGACTGTCCCACCGAGGGGCGGGATGGTCTTCCCCAGCAGAGCTGAAAACCTTGGGGCCCAGGGTCAGCCAGCTGTTCGTGCTTCCTCTTC